ATTTCCCAGTCTAGCCTAAAGTCCTGGGCTTATCTGATAGACATCCATATAACTACGGCATAGGTCCTGACTAGTTTTTTGAGATCAATAAAATTTGACTGACTGCTGCCACCTATCTAGGCCTAGTTATTATCTTGGTAGAATGCATGAACAGCAAATTTACAAGGCTGGCTCTGTAAGATGTGCCTCAGTTTTGCTATAAGACTATGATTATCTGTAATGATAGAAAACATGTGCAATGTGTACAGAAATGCTTTGTAAGAGAGCAGACGCTTATTTATTCTTGAATTAGAGTAGCTCATGATAATTTGAGAGATCCATTTTAAACTTCCTAGTCTATTAGGATTACAAATTTTAAATAATTTGATGTTACTCCTATTGTCTACTGTGTTATATAATTATGAAATAATATTGCTAATAACTAGTAGTGCTAATTGTAAGACCTAACTATCTTGGCAATTATACCTCCTCAGAATTGTTTCAGCAGGTTTTTTTTTTTTGGAGAAAAATGATACACATATTTTGGTCCCATCTATCTTAAAGATAATGAGAACTTACCGAAGCAACACTTCAGTATGGAAGCCATAATAGATTGTGATGTTGCAAATAATTTGGCTGGTGATTTATATGATTTGTCATATTTAACTAGAAAAACACACAGTTTTAACATGCTGTATTACTTTTTCAATGACTTTTTCCCCTAATGGCCAAAATTCTTTGAAGTATCTATGACAGAGATATGGAAAAGTTCATTATAATTTTATAAAGCTTCCAAGTTTAATGTTCTTGTAAATTTGGTGTTCTTGAGCCTGAAGGATGAAGGTCTTCCATCTCAGCTTCCATGGGCCTCTGGAATTACCTATTCTAGCTCCGCCTCCTGCCTTGGTCTGCACCTAACTGCTGCCTCCACCTAGCCTTCAGGGGTGTGACACACTTCCCCCTAACTCTGGTGTGTGTGTGAGTGAAAAGGACTTTCATAGCCCTTTTGCTTTGTTGAGATGTAAATGAGGAAAAATGATAAAATGAAAATAAATACTGTTGTGCCCCTTTCTGGCCCTGTAACACTTAGAGGTGTTACTGGGGAAATTGGCCCTTTTACCTTTGTGAGAAGATTGACCAACTTGACAAAATAAATATAATAACATTTAGTTTATTTTAAAAGGGAAGGGGAGAAAATGGAATGTAACAAATCCTTTTTAAGTAGCTATATGCAAAGCATTCAGGTCAAAAGGAGTTGAAATATAGAATTGTTAAAATGACAGTATGAAAAATAAGCATGCAATTCAGTAGGTCCACATTGAATAGATCACACGATGATAGATCCACCAATATAAAAGTAACTGATGTAAATTTGAATAAAATACTTGAGAATTGAGCTTGTAGAGACAGTAATAACCAGAGACAGTAAATCACGTTTAAACACACACCCTGTTAAAATAAAAAAAAGTAACCTTATGCAATATTTCTAGCTCAACTAGTTTCCTATTCCTTAGGATGACCTGATGCCTGAAGCTAAAGTCCCCTTGCTTTTTCTGGCTCTTTTTCTGGCCTTTTTCCCAGCTTCTTGTAGATGTTTTCCTTTTTCTCAGTGATTGAAGAGATTCCAACCTTCTTCCAACCTTGGCACAAAACTTTTTGCTCTTTTTCTCTGGCAGCCTTTTTAAAGATAAACGTTTTTCCTCCATAGCAGATTTGCAGGATTTGGAGGGACAACTGCTTTTGTTGATGCTAAAACTCATATAATTTTGGTTGAGACAAAGAAGATATTCTCTGTTTGGAAAACAGTTTTCAATCTTGTGAAATCCAAGTGTCATAAATGCATTCATGAAATAATTGTAAAAATAACAGAAAAGATTTGTTTTTTTTATCACATCACATTCTGGGTCCGTTTTTCTTTGTTTTATAGCCACTTTGTTTGCTTTAGATCAATTATTCAAATTTTATTAATTATTTAAAAATGAATTATTATTTATATCCTTTAAAAATCAGCTTGATGTATATAAATCTGTTGGAATTTTTTTACTAAAATAGTTTCTTCTAAGATCTGAAAAACTCTTAAAAGGCAAGAACTTATTTCAAGAGTGTCAATAGGAGTTTTAACTAATTAAATAAAAACTAATGGCAGAATGGAAACATATGAGAACTATGGAATACTTTTATTTAAATACAACTTTCTTTAAACAGGTGAAAATCAGTACGGACCTTGGAGAGACCCCATGCATTAAGTATGTCTAGGAGAAAATCAGAAAACAAAAACATCCCAGGCTTGTTGCTTATATCTCCTCACACACAGATAAAGGCAGATAATTTCAACCATTTCTATGAAGTTGAACCCAAGGAATTGGGAAGGTAAGAATATATCTCAGGGTTTTTTTTCCAAATTGATCTTGCTTTAACTTCTGTTGTATTAGTGCATTATGTACTGTAATAACGAGCTCGTTATTGCACCTTTTTCAGATGATTTAAACTAGTTAATAAAGAAAAGAGTAAATTCAGTCCTGTTCATATCAAGAGGGTCTAGATCAGCTGTCCATTGAAACCACCTACAACAGTTTGGCCTCCTGTCTTAGAACAGGCTAACCACTATGTGTGTGCTTAGCTCCAGTTTCAGCTTTTTCCAAAACTACAGTTTTTCTGTAACTTGGATATAACATTGATCTTGCTCTGGTAAAGTAAATTGCAGGTGGGGCCCCGTAGAAAAACAGTTTGTGGAACATTTTAATATACGAAATATGACATGAGAAATATTTTTTTTCTGCGATCAGATTAAAAATAATTACATTTGCCTACATTACAGAGAATTCTTAAGTGTGGAAGGTGTTTCCCACAATATTGGGAAGGAAAATGGGCCACCTTATTTCTTCAGTATGCTTAAGAATTTGGGGAGAAGATAAAGATCATTGTTTTAGTTTATGTTGGTCTTTGGAGATTTTTGGAAGCAATAGGGAAAAGTCTGAAGAGTTTGTTGTAAGCTAGAAAGCTACCCTTCTTTATTCCTAGGTTCCCATGAACATTGAATAGCTAGTGAATCCACCTGAACTTTAAAACTCTTAAGAGTAGTCATATGCTTTCTTCCAGTTAGAATTACTAGATAATTTTAAAACTAGAACTAATGAAAGAAAAATCATGTTCTGTGTCTGGGACAGCCTATTCTGTTGCCAAGAAGAAAAATGAGAAGAGGAAATCATTATTGCAAGAACTTTGTTCCTTCCTCATAGAAATGATCAACACATTAATTCTATTGTGAGAATTTCTTCATATTAGTAATAGCCATATTCATGAAAAATACAAAGCCTGTATAGTTTTCAGTGACGTTAGAACCTAACTAATAGCTTAATTTTTATATTTTAGGAAATAGAGGTAGTCCTCGACTTACAACCGCAATTGGGACTGGAAGTTCTTTTGCTAAGTGAGGTGGTAGTTAAGTGAGTTGCTCCTGGTTTTCATATGTTGGCCATGGTTTTAAGTGATTCACACAGTCATTAACTGAATCCGGTCTCCCCCATTGGTTTTGCTTGACAGAGGCCAGCTAAAAAAGTTGCAAATGGCAATCACNAGTCTTTGGGATTTTATAGTTTATTCAAGGGTGCTTTTACATTTCCCTGCTCCGTATAATTTATACTGAGAAGCTCAACCTTGTCTGAATTAGAGAAATCTCCATGTAGTCACCGCACTTTGAGGCACCTCTTTCAGGGCAATTGTTTGGGAGCACCTGTTGAACCAGCATTCCTTCATTGTCAGTTCTTTTCTTGTTATTACAAGAAAAAGATAAACCAACATTTTTCACTAGAAGGGGAAAGCAAATGATAGAAGGTGGGAAAAAGTAGCAAGTATTAAGAGGATCTTTGTTAAGGACCCCACAACAGCTTGAAGCAGCATTGATGAGAAAGTTTAGTGGCAGACTTCTATGAAGACTGTGGCCTTTTAAATAGTTATTTATGATGCTTCAATTTTTTTTAAACAGGTGCTTGTAAAATTATTCACAGAATGTATAGTTAACATTACAAAAATGAAATTTTAGATTTATTTTTGCCATTTCTTGACTCTGTTTCATGCTGAAGTTATATTTTTAACCTTGAATAAATGATCTTATGTCCTAACAAAGTTCAATACAAAGCCTATATGAACTTTTATAATGAAAGTCAAACCATATAGCTTCCATGCTCTTCAACTGTTTAAAAAAATAAATTCCCAGTTCTCAAACATTTAATGAGTTGAAATGTTCACTTTGGCATTTTGTTAAATGTAATATGTTTCTGTGCATGTCACTGGAAAGCAATGGATGTTTTATGTGTTCCAATCACAATTTCATTTTTTTTTTAAATTGTGGAAAAGTTAGTTTGTAGGTAATACTTCAACATATGGGAAAATATTTGTAAATTCACCAGATTTGAACTATTAAGAATCTGTGTCATTCCAAGCAAGCTAACTGGAGAACATTGCCTTTTGAAATTAGTGGAGCTTGATTGTGACTTAATATGTTTTGGCTCAGCTTGAAAATTAGTTGTCTCTAAAAATTAAATTTGGGCTAAGAGTTTTAGGGCTCACCTTTTGAAAGAAGTAATTAAATGGAATTCTGAGAAGTTTGGGGAACATTTACCTCCGAATGACCTCAACCCCTTTTCAGTTGTTTGGCATTAAGATAAAGTGTTATCTTGATCAAAGTATGTGATTTCCAAAAGATGATTTACTGCATAAAACATGCAAGTCTTTTAAGCTATACATGTAAAATGGGAATAAATACTCCATATCTGTTCAACATGTTTCTTTAAAACTAGCTGTTAGTAAATTACATTTTCATCTCTGTGCAATTGACTTTTAAACACAAGCTCTAATTTTGTTATTATGGAATTATTTTAGCTAAATAAACTCTCCTCATTTGAATGTTTAGATTCCTAAATGATTATTTTTCATTTAAAATGTACACCTGAGAATGCAACTGAGGCTACGTCATAAAGTATGAATCATAAGGTGCAAGGTTTAAAAAAAGTCAATGCTTTTCTCTGGAAGTCCTTATGATTATTGTTCTGCTAAACTATTATAGTTAAGGTAACATTTCCTATAAGTGAAGTTTGATTTCTGGTGAGTTTATGGCCATGTCCATGTAGTTTTCTTGACTGTAAGTAACAGTAAGGAAGTGGTTTGCTACTTGATAGTGGAAGTGGTTTTTCATCACTGTTGAAGCTTTTTTTTAATTTCCCAGTCTAGCCTAAAGTCCTGGGCTTATCTGATAGACATCCATATAACTACGGCATAGGTCCTGACTAGTTTTTTGAGATCAATAAAATTTGACTGACTGCTGCCACCTATCTAGGCCTAGTTATTATCTTGGTAGAATGCATGAACAGCAAATTTACAAGGCTGGCTCTGTAAGATGTGCCTCAGTTTTGCTATAAGACTATGATTATCTGTAATGATAGAAAACATGTGCAATGTGTACAGAAATGCTTTGTAAGAGAGCAGACGCTTATTTATTCTTGAATTAGAGTAGCTCATGATAATTTGAGAGATCCATTTTAAACTTCCTAGTCTATTAGGATTACAAATTTTAAATAATTTGATGTTACTCCTATTGTCTACTGTGTTATATAATTATGAATTAATGAAATAATATTGCTAATAACTAGTAGTGCTAATTGTAAGACCTAACTATCTTGGCAATTATACCTCCTCAGAATTGTTTCAGCAGGTTTTTTTTTTTTGGAGAAAAATGATACACATATTTTGGTCCCATCTATCTTAAAGATAATGAGAACTTACCGAAGCAACACTTCAGTATGGAAGCCATAATAGATTGTGATGTTGCAAATAATTTGGCTGGTGATTTATATGATTTGTCATATTTAACTAGAAAAACACACAGTTTTAACATGCTGTATTACTTTTTCAATGACTTTTTCCCCTAATGGCCAAAATTCTTTGAAGTATCTATGACAGAGATATGGAAAAGTTCATTATAATTTTATAAAGCTTCCAAGTTTAATGTTCTTGTAAATTTGGTGTTCTTGAGCCTGAAGGATGAAGGTCTTCCATCTCAGCTTCCATGGGCCTCTGGAATTACCTATTCTAGCTCCACCTCCTGCCTTGGTCTGCACCTAACTGNGCTCAGATTACCTCACTTTGGATACTAGTTTATACAAAGACCCAGCTCTCTGGAGAAAGCTTTCTAAAATTTGAACTTTATAATTCTGGGAATAGTGGAAAGAAAGAGAAATGACCAGCAGCACTTATAGTGGCAATGGATACACCACTGGTAGACCTTAAACACCAGGTTACAGAAGGGTCATCGTGGAGAAAATCTATGTGGTTGGTTAAGAGTCAACAACAGCTTGATGGAATATGATCACAATTTAAAAACTCTGTTCATGTTCAGTTCAAACGTCATGCCAGTTTATTGTTGCAAAGCTATCACAAATTTAGTCTAGAGGTTTTTTTGTTTTGAAAAGAAAATATAAGACCCCTTCAAACTAAAAATCTGAGGAGAATTTAAGCAAATTATATGTTTTAAAAGCTTGGGAAAGAATTCTAAATGAATTTGGGTGAAAGTAGCATTTCTCATAGATGTCAAAAAAATCTCTGTTTTTATTCTGGTTACTGACTGAAGTTAAGATTTGATCGGTTTAGTTTAATATTATTTTCATAGAGGTGTAAAGTGCTCAATGACTGTATATTTATAGTTGCCAATATAAAACTGACGTAGGGTAAAGCATTAATATTTGAAGTGCTATAAAATCATTTCATGTTTTTGTCCCGAATATCATTTTAATATATCTGATAACTACATTTGCACTCTATATTCAGTGTTCAGAAAATTAGTTCTAACACTCAATATGTTTTAGCATAATTTTAATGTCTAATGTTCAATAATGTCATTACAAACATTGGTTTAATTGTTAAAATCTTAAAGGGGTTACTGAAATCTGTTTTAATAATAGAGAACTCATTAAGATTATTTTGTATAAAAGTGGTGTTATGGTTCTAAAGTAATAATCTTTATACCCCATTTTATACCTCAGTTAAATTGAGCACATTCTTTATAAGATGTAGTTTATTTCTAGGATCTAAATTTTGGAAGGAATTGAGATAAGAGAAATGATGAATTAGAAGCAAAGAGATAGGAAATTGAACCTATGGTAGCAGCTGCATATAGATCACAGCTAAACATTTTGTTGAAAGAGCTTTTGGCTTTGCATCAAGGATGAATGATGACCTGTGATCCTCCAGATGTTGGAATACCAGCTCCATTCAGTTTCAGCCACTACAGGAAATGTGGGGAGGCTGGGACTGTATTGCAAGACTATCTGGAAGGCCACACATATAGCACACATATTCTAAAATAAATATTTACAGAAGATAAAGTTATGGATGCAAAACATAGCATATTCCTATCTGTAAAGAACAAAGGGTGAAATATTACAAAATATTGTTGTCCTTCTGATTTGGGCTGGCGAGATAAGTACTTCACAGTTATTTCTTCTGTTGTTTTTTTTTTCAGAGGAAAATTTGGTGTGGTTAGAAAATGTATTGCGAAAGCTACAGGCCAGGAATATGCAGCTAAATTTCTGAAAAAGAGGAGAAGAGGCCAAGACTGCAAAGCAGACATTTTGCATGAAATTGCTGTTCTCGAACTAACAAAACCAAGTCCTCGGGTCGTAAATCTCCATGAAGTCTATGAAACAACAAACGAAATCATCTTAGTTTTGGAATAGTAAGTATACATTCTGTGTCTGTCAGTGTGCATAACCAGAGAAGCAATATTTGAGGATCCCTTGTATTTTCCAGGTTTTGGTGCTTTGTTGAAATGACTTACTTGCCTATCTATGGGACTCTTATCCTTGATTTCTTTCTTGTTCTTCATTTTAAGTTTCAGTTGAAATTTACAAATTAATTTGTGGTGCATGTTCTCTTGCTTCAGTATACAATTTTACGAAAAACATGAATTAACTGTTTTATAATGATAGGAACTCTGTGTTAAAAGAATAAGGCAAATTCAAAAGTTATTTGTTAGGCAGTTCTGGTGTTTGTTTTATGCCCGTTTGTCCTTTCCTGCAAGAGATTAAGAGATATCAGTTGGCTGAGTTTACCAGTTTCAGTCATAATAACTTGACTTTGGTATCCATGTTAATCCATAATGAATGGTTCATACATTCTCCTCAGCTAAAGTATAAAACAGTACATTGTAGTTCAGCATTGTGTGTGAACTTGATTTTTGGAGATTCTAAACCAACAGTTTACAAGGAAACAATTGGAGAAACATTAAAAAAAATCCTACTTTCTTAACCTTTTTTTTTCTTTTCAACTGAATAAAATATTGGAAAGAAATTGTATAAAAGGGCTTGTGACTGTCTGTAAAACAATTCTTGGAGAATTGAGCAGAATGGGACCAAACTTTGCATGACAGGTAAAGTCAACAGCAACAAAAAGAGAGATCAAATGTGAATACGGGCCAGATCCCATCCAGCAGCTTCAGGGGGAAAATAAATCCAGGAAAAGGTCCTCCAGTGCATCCTCAAGGGAGACGAAGTTGGGCAGTGGCTTGGAATGCTAGTGACTCCTCTGGTCTCAACTCCCATCCCTTTTCCTTCTTGTTCATGTGACCCAGAACAGAACCGTTTGAAATAATTGATTTCAAATACTATACATGTGTTCCTAATCTTAATTTCACTGTTCTATATTTATTTCTTCATTTGGCAAATTTTTATTGCCATTCAACTAACCAGAAGTATGGATGGTGAACAGAGATAAAAACAATACAATTATCCAAGCCATTTAAAAGAAAAATCACCCCCATAATCAATACATTGCCAACATATAATTCTTACATATATCAAAGTTCTATTAACATCCTGATCCCTGTGTCCAGGAAGCCAAATCTTTATGACTTTCTTGAAGGTCAGAAAGATCAGGACCATCCACGTCTCTGGAGGTGAGCTATTCCATAGGGTCACTGAGGAGAAGAGATGCTTCCTGGCACCCATCAGATAACATAGCTTCACTAAGGGAACTCACAGCAGAAACCAGTAAGAATAAGTGATCCCACAAGTAACTTGGCTTATACCATGTAGGACTTTAAAGATGACAACCAGCACCTTCTCATTGTACCTGAAATCCCACTGGGAATCATGAAGCAGCACTATTTCATGGGCATAAGGCGTTTCAGAGTCGCTTTATGAAGGAGATAGGTGGTCTCTAAATTTCCTTCCTTCCTTCCTTCCTTCCTTCCTTCCTTCCTTCCTTCCTTCCTTCCTTCCTTCCTTCCTTCCTTCC